GTTTTGTGGCTTCCAAGTGATTAAACACTTCATGCCCTCTGCTCCTCAGTTTCCGTACCTTTCCTTCCTTCCTCTTAGGATTGTGAGGATCAAGTCTTAATAGGTATAAAGTGTGATGAATACTACCTGGCATGGAGTAAGTTCTGTATAAACATTAGCAGATAACTATTACCTGAATTTCACTGACAAAAAAGTTTCATTGCTCATGCTTGCTTCCTCTTACAGGAGGCCATTAACAGTTGTATCAAAGATATGAGAGCAGGCAAGCTCGAGAGAGAGAGAGAGCTGGGCCCACAAAGACTTTAATTTTTTTTTTTTTATTTACTTTTGAGAGACAAAGAGTGTGAGCAGGGGAGGGGCAGAGAGAGGGGGACACAGAATCCAAAGCAGGCTCCAGGCTCTGTCAGCACAGAGCTTGATACGGGGCTCAAACTCACGAACCTGAGATCATGACCTGAGCTGAGGTCAGATGCTTAACTGAGTAAGCCACCCAGGCGCCCCGGCCCAGAAAGATTTTATATAATCATGTCACAACTGCCATCTGGCTGACAGCAATTATAAGATGCCGTAAGTTTTAAGAAGCACCTCAATATCTTAAGGTTTAAATATGTAAAAAATGTGTAGGATATGATTGGTGCTAGTATTTATTGTGTTCTGTAGAATTCTAAAATGGCTCTTCTGAATCCCACCCACCCTGGTGTCCACTCCTTTGTGTAATCCCTTCCCCTTGATTGCAGGCAGAATGTGTGTCTTGTTTCTAACCAATATGACAAATATGAACAATTTTGCAGAGGTAATTAAAGCCCCTATCAGCTGACTTTGAATTAATCAAGGGATATCCTGGGTGGGCCTGACTTAATCAGACGAATCTTTTAGAAAAGGGTTGAGGACTTCCTTAACAGAAGAGACTCATGCAGGAGAGATGCTCTTCCACTGGCCTTGAAGAATCAGAAAGCCCCACTGTGAACGGGCTTATGGAGTGAGGTGGCCTCTAGGCCTTAGACCTATAATTGCAAAGAACAGAAATCTGCCAACATGAATGAGCGTGAAAGGGGATGTCAAGCTTCAGATGAGACTGCAGCCTGGCCAACACCTTGACTGCAACCTTGGGAGAGATCCTAAGCAGAGGACCCAGGACTCCCAATCTACAGAGAGTGGGAGATGATACACATATGTTGTTTTAGGCTGCTATGGAGTTTGTTATGCAACAACAGAAAACAAATGTAACATTACTGAATCATTATTGCAGGTAAGCCACTTCATGAATTGTTCTAGGTCCCATGAGGGGGAGCTAACCAGAGCTGTTCAATCAGAAAAACCTCTAAAACCCCACTAAACCTAAGTCTGCAACCACCTAACACATGGACTGGTTTATATTTTACAAAAGTCTGGCCACCTACTACCAAAGAAAGCCCCAGTAGAGAGCCAGCAGTACGTGCTCACCTTCGCAAGGGCATTCTCCAGGGCCCCAGTCACATCCTGTGCCAGGGCCACAGGGCAGCAGAGGCGCAGATCATTGAAGGCAACCAGAATACTGTTCAGGAAGCAGGCAAGGGGTGGGAAATCTAAGAGTACCATTGGTGGCTGCAAGGTCCCTGGCTGAGTGACTGGCACAGCAGCAGGCAGGTTACTGCTGCCCAGGATGGCTGGAGCGGAGATGAGGGTGTAGGAATTCATTTCATCCTGGAACTTTTCCACTGCTTCCTGAATTGCTTTCTGGAAAGTGCTGATGGCCACCTGCTGGAAAACAGGAGCCAACTGGCCCCGGAAATCAGCCCCCACCCGGCTGAAGGACAGCCCAAAGTACATGCACTGACCCAGCAGAGAGTCTAGGCGGCCACCTATCCCCCGGTTAAGGTCGGTCTCCAGCACCTGCAGGAATTGTGAGACCCTCTGTAGCACCCAGCCATGGAAGATGGCGCTCTCGTTCACAGTGTGCTCACCCATGGCAGGCGGCAACAATGGGTCCTCATCTGAGAATATGGCACGGTACTGGGTGATGATATCAAACAGATGGACACGGCAAGCCTCAATGGTTTTTGTGATGTGGAAATAGGGATCATCATTGGGGATGGCAGTCAGGATGGAACGGAGCCAAGCATCTCGGGCCTGAAGAAACTTCACCCTCAACTCAGCCTCAGTGAAGATATCCATGCGCCGCAGGAAGCCAATGACACGGAGGCAGGCAGGGAGCTGGATATTGGTCCTCAGTTGCTGGATCAGCTGGCTCAACATCAGCTGCATGGACTGGCGCACTTCATTCACAATGCCCTGACAATAAAGGGGGTCAGTCATACCACAATGGGAAAAATACTTCCTGGAACCCATTCCACTACCCCTGAATGTTGCAGACTAGAGAGGCAGACCACTGCTTTCCTGACTTACAAAGATTTCCTAAAGCTGATGTGTACAGGGTTACCAACAAAGGTCTGGTTCACTGTGGCCTACAGGCCCTGTCTGGTTCTCCTGCCACACCCACTTCCTAATACTGTCCCCCTGCTCACTGCAATCCAGGCACACTGTTTGTGGGGTTTTTTTTCCTATCTTTGTATTTCTTAAATACTCCTAACGTGTTCCCTCCTGAGCCTGCCATACTTATTTTTTCCACTTTGTGGTTTGCACCTTCCCCACATCTTCCTGTGGCGGGCTCCTTCTCATCATCTGGGTCTCAGCTTAAATATTATTTCTCCAACAGAGCCTTTCCTGACCACTCTACCTAGGGTACCTCATCTAGTCTCCTATCCATTCCCTGGTTTATTTTCTTCATTTACCACTATCTGAAAGGATCATTTATTTACCAACTATCAGCTTTCATTCATGAAAGCCAGGGCCTTGTCTGCCTTGTCTCGTTTCTCCCTAGCACCTAGATTAGTGCCTGGCACATGATTAGTATTTATCACTTGAATGAATGAATGAATGAATGAATGAATGAATATTTTATGTTCAAGCCTGCCTGACTGGCAGAAATTGATGTAAAACTTGCAGTTTCCCTAAGGTGTCTGCCTAAAGGTTCAGCGATGACCACACAATTACTGATTATAAGAACATCAGCTTGAGTCCTTTTGGGACAGTTTGGCTACCTGGATGACAGGGATGGAAGAGTATTTCCTTTCCAGTCGGCGTACGTAGGCCGCAAGCTCCAGGGCCTCTTCATAGTAGCTGTTCCGGACACAAGTGTCCATGAGCTGGGGGATCTCCAGGATTTCCAGGATTTCTGTGTGCCGGTTTAGGGTCAGGGTGTTCATCCGGCGGTTGGAACTGATCTCTTCAGCCTCTTTCACAAAGTTTCTGGTAAGAGAATTTCGGTCACTCACTGCTCCACACCCACAACTCAGCTACATTTACCAAGTGATTACCATGGACTGGGTACTGAGCTGCATGGTTTATGACTTAATCTTCACACCAAACCTTTGAGGTAAGTACTACTACCCTTGAGGAAACTCTAATCCCAGAGAGGCTAAGCAACTTGTCCCAAATCACACGATTATTTATCATATGTGAACCCAGATCTGCCACTTAACTGTGACAAGGTACTTAGGCTCTCTGAACTCTTTCGCATTAGTAAAATAGTAATAGGACCCACCTCACAAGGAGGTGAGGATTAAATGAGATGTGTGTAACAAACTTAACACAGAACCTTACATATGGTAAATGTTCCTTTAATAGCTATGCTTTTCATAAAAATGCACTAACTAGCTTAAAAGCTACAACCTTAACCTTAAATTCCCTCAGCCCTTTTAATTTTTCTCTTCTGCTGTTGTTCAACTTTAATTCTTAGCAGTTTTCACTCCTCCGTAATTGCAGTGACCTGCTTCATGAGGTCCCCTACCTATTCTGGAAGGCGGAAGGGTACAGGAGCTATTGTCAAATATCCAAAGACTCAAAAGAAAGGTGAAAAATTGAAAGGCAGAATTAGGGATAATAGACTGAGGATCTAGGCAGGCAAATTACGGCTTAAAGGATTTTTTGATAATTTTTGCCTCCAACTGGAAGGATTTCCTTGTCAGCCTTCTATCCATTAGAAGTTTTGGACGGTCTCAGCTGGTGTGTGTGTGTGTGTGTGTGTGTGTGTGTGTGTGTGTGTAGACTGTTGCTGACGACCGTAGAGTGTTAACTATGTCAGACCCAATAATAAGCGCTTGGCATGGAATCTCTTTATTTAGTACTCCCAACAGTCCTGTCAGGGAGGGACGTGCTGCTGGTTTCCAATTCTGACTTCGAAACTTACTAGCTGTGCCCACTGAACAATCACTAAGCTCCCTGTCTCAACTTCCTCATACATAAAATGGGAATAACAGTACCTACCTCGAAAGTTGTTGTGGAATTTAAATTTTTAAAATGCTCAAAGGAGAGCCTGACGCATGGTAAGTGCTATGTAAGCGTTAGCTATTTCTATCATCATAAACGTCAGCTATTACAGTTGCTAAAAGCCCCTTTATAGTGCCGGGCCCGCCACACCTGCAGCTCTGCTGGAAGCTGGGCAAGCGGTCGAGCAGGCGGCCGAGCGACGCCTCCACGTCGCCAAAGAGGCGGTGGATGCGCTCGGTGCACTCGGCGCCGCGGATGAAGGTCTTATAATTGGCGAAGGCCAAGTCGCGCGTCTGCTGCAGCAGCTGCGCCCGCTCCTCCGCCAAGCGCTCGGGCTCGCGCCTCAGCCGCTCCAGCCCGGAGCCGCTCAACTCCCGGAGGTAGCGGCCCACGTCGGGCCGCTCCCGCCACTGGGCCTCGGGGAAGCGGTCCCGGAACAGCGATGCCAGGAGTCCTTCATCCTCCACCTCCCCGAGAGCCGCCGCAGTGGCGGTCGCTGCGGCCGACGCGGACGCCGACGCCGTGGCGGTGGTTGACGAAGCAAGAGTCTCCGTCGCCGCCATCTTCTGGCAGCAGCGTCACTTCACCTCCCGCCCGGCAAGGGCGCTGGCTCGGAATCTAGGACCGGAAGCAGCGGGGGCACTCTTCCGATCGCTGTGGTTTCGTATCCGTTAGGCTTTCTTTCTTCGACGGTCCTCCACGCTGCGGGGCGCTAGAGTGGGGGAACAAACCGAATGCGGCTAGAGAGGCAGGCTTTGGGGTTGCCAGGGAGCGGCTGGCGGCTGACTTCCGTTTCCGGACGCTGAGGCACGCGGATTCGGTGTTGCAACCCAGCGGGAAAATGCGGCCTTTGACTGAAGAAGAGACCCGCGTAATGTTTGAGAAGATAGCGAAATAGTAAGAGCGCGCCGAGGGGAAGGGGAAATGTGTTTGTGGCAGGGAAGGGCGTGGGTGGAGTGGGGGCGCGGCCCTGGGAGGAGTCTTTTGGGGCGCCGTCTCCAGTGCTCTTTTTGCCTTCAGCATCGGGGAGAACCTTCAGCTGCTGGTCGACAGGCCCGACGGCACCTACTGCTTCAGGCTGCACAACGACCGGGTGTACTACGTGAGGTGAGGCGGTGCCGGGTGGACCAACGTGGACGGGGGGAGGACTGGGTCCCGCCGGCTTCCCGCAGCTGACACCTTCTTTCTCCTTACCCTTTAAGCGAGAAGATCCTGAAGTTGGCCGCCAACATCTCTGGGGACAAGCTGGTGTCTCTGGGGACCTGCTTCGGAAAATTCACGAAGACTCACAAGTTCCGGTTGCACATCACAGCTCTGGATTACCTTGCACCCTATGCCAAGGTTTGTGGGGGGGGGGGGGGAAGGGGGACAAGAGCGGGGTGGTATTCAGTCGGCAACTGGGGATGAAGGAAGTAAAAAATGAGGGCCACGTCAGAAGGCAGATAATTGGGCGGCTTCTCTGCCTCGGAGTCCGCGACAGTGGTTAGGTCAGTACCACACGTAGAGATGTTTGTGGGACTTGCTGCCTCGGCAGGGTTCGGGCTCTGGCATAGGAATGCTGTGTGGCTGCATAGTCGTGGTAACGTTCAGCAAAGTAGAAAAGCCTCTGCAGACCCCACTCAAGAAAAGCCAGTAGGTGACTTTGGTGACGAGCACAGAGGGATCCAGAAAAAAGAGTTCTTAAACTATCCGTGAGAGAGATTGTAGAGTCGAATAAAGAACCTCCTGGGAGTTCAGTTCGGAGAATGAGCAATTTGAGATAGCCATCCAGTCTTTCTCTTTTCCTTAAAATGCTTTCAAGAAATTAATCACATAGCGGCACCTGGGTGGCTCAGTCAGTTAAGCATCCAACTCTTAATATCGGCCCAGGTCATAATCTTGGGGTTGTGAGATCAGCCCTGAGTTGGGCACTGCGCTGAGGGTGGAGCCTGCTTGAGAGTCTCTCTCTGTCTGCCCTTCCCCACCTTGTGCCCATGCTCACCCTCTCTCTGTCTCGAAATAAGTAAACATATATATTTTTTAAAGACAAAATCCTTTTCTTATTAAAAGAAAATTAATCCGTGGACCAAATGAAAACAAAGCTTTTTCGCAGCAAAATAAATAAATAAATAAATAAATAAATAAATAAATAAATAAATAAATAAAATAAAACTTAATCATATATCCAACAGCTGGCTAATCTATGGGATATAATTTTTAGCATTTTAATGTCTCTTAGATTTAATTGTGGGGTTTTTTTTTTGTTGTTGTTTTTTTATAGTATAAAGTCTGGATAAAGCCTGGAGCAGAGCAGTCCTTCCTGTATGGGAACCATGTGTTGAAATCTGGACTGGGTCGAATCACTGAAAATACCTGTCAGTACCAGGGAGTGGTGGTCTACTCCATGGCAGACGTCCCTTTGGTGAGTAGAGATGGTAGCTGTTAGAAAAATCAAGTATCTTTTTTAATTCAGAAGGCTGTATTTTCCATCTGTGCGCTTCAGAGACTAAATTCTCAGCACCTTTTGAATTTCTCAAAGATAACTGCATTTTTTTCATCTTCGTTATTTCCACCCCTCGATGCATGCTTGTTGAATGACTTGAGTGAATCAGTGTCTCTTCTTTTGAATCCCAGGGTTTTGGGGTGGCAGCAAAGTCTACACAAGACTGCAGGAAAGTAGACCCCATGGCGATTGTGGTATTTCATCAAGCAGACATTGGGGAATATGTGCGGCATGAAGAGACATTGACTTAAAACGAAATCATCGCAAGGACTTGTGGCTGTGTGGAAGGGCCTAGCTTTGTTTCCCGTGTCTGTGTAGGCTCCATCATCATGTTGAATTTTGTCAACACTGACTTCTTCAGGGACTTCTTAGTTTAATATTCTCTCTGTTGCGATTGAATGCAGGCTGGATTCTTAAGTGAAGATGGTTCAAAAATGGCATTTCAGATCTTTGTGTTTGTGACTAAACAGAATGCTGTGTTTTATATTTGAATCAGAAGGCTTCTTGTCTTGAGTAACAGGTTCTAAGTCGTTGGAACTGAGGACAGGAATAGCTAGCTTATTGTTATCTGTGATAACGCCGTTTTCAAACTCACGATAAGAACACAAAGGATTTTTTCATTGTTTATATGATGAAAGTTAGATATTGCCATATGAGAATGGTAGGCCATGTGTTGGATTTTATGAATGAAATTTGGATAAAATAATAAGAGCAATTTGTCCTGCCAGTTTTCTATATAGTGGGTGTTGTGTGGTATGGAAGAAAATCTTGGATCTAAACCCCAGTTCTGACACCTACCAGCTGTATGGCCTTAGAAGTCATCAAACTTTAATAAGCTTAATTTTCTTCTTCTTCAAAAAAACAGCTTTAACCTAAAGATGGTTTTTCGGATTAGAAATCAACGTTTGTAAAGCACTTAAGCACAGTGCCTGGCAAATGATAGGTGTTAAATAAATGGTAAAATTATTTTTATATTGCATATGCTGGGTATTTCTATTACTAAGGATAGGATCTTATGAATACAGCTTGATTATAGATCTTCGTTCTTGATCTTTCTTTTTCTGAGATGGTATGATCCCAGGCTAATGGTATTTTCATCACCTTGATTTCTTAAAATGTGATTTCCCATGGGAGCCTTTACTTAACTGGACTAGACAGCACTAATCAGAGACCTTGATATAATTCAGCTCTTCCCATGCTTCCTAAAATTATTTTTGGAATTATTAAAATGTTTTTTTTAATGAAAAAATTCCACTAAGTTTTTTAAACTGCCTGTTTTAAATCTACTGCTTTTCTTTTTTTCCTGCTTATTTTAAATTCCAAAGGTGACATCTCTAAAAATAAAACATTTTTCAACTACAAAAAAGCAGTCTGCCAATTCCTGTTTTTGTATGCAATGCATAAAACTGAGATGTGTATGTTTTTGTCCCATTTTTTTCAACTCTTCTCCCTCCCTTGGTTCTCAACCCTCTAGATAATCTTAGAGTTAAGGGGCTGCTGTATGATGAACAGTATTTTGATGGTAGCATCACTTAGTGCACACTTTTGTAATAGCCGAGATCAATACTTAAACATTTTTATTATTTTATTGCCATTTTGAGGCAATAGGGAAGGAGAGCAATAGACTAAAATGTTCTAACAAGTTGATTTTTTTTCCAATAATTTTACAAAGCTCATGACCCAGAAGAAAAGGACTAGGGTGCTGTAGTCATTTTGGCTTAGCATCTTGGCTTTTTTGTGTCTGTAACCTTTGGGACATTAAAGAGACGCTTCAAGAAATACAGCTGCAGGATTCCAGAAAGAACAATAACAAAGCTCTGGGCTGTCGACCACCAGTTCACGTAGTTATAGTTTGACTGGAGAAGGAAAAAGTCAGCCATTTTCCTCATGCGGGCAAAGTTGTAATACCGCCACATGTGAAAGATATTGTTCTGCATCTTCCGTGTACTCTCCTGTGGGACAGAAAATGAAATTAAAAGAGTCCTCCCTACCACCCATCTAGTCTCACCCCATTGCTCAGAAGCACTAACCTAAGTTATCTGGAGGCTGAGTAACTTACTTCTATAATTTTATGATACATACAATAAGTTGGTTATTGTAGTTGTTAGTAAAGCTGGTTTTGCTCTCTATGAAAACATCGCCTGGACTTTGGTTTAAAAAACAAAATTTCTATAATGAAAAATTTCAGTTCTAAAACTCTTTCAGAGTATCTCTAGATTTAGACATGTACTCAGTACATCAGTGCCCCTCTGGCTGATGTTTTCTGTTTTTTGTAGATGGTAGAAGATGGGGGCTGGCCTGCAAACTTTTTTTTTTGTTGTTTTTTTTTTTTTTTTAGTATTTATTTATCTAAGTAATTTCTATACTCAACGTGGGGCTGAAACCCATGAACCTGAAATCAAGAGTTACGTTCTGTACTGACTCACCCAGCCAGGTGTCCCTGCAAACTTTTTATTAAAGGACCAGATAGTAAATCGTTTAGGCTTTGTAGGTGATACAGTCTCTGTTGCAGCTACTGAACTCTGCTCTTGTTAGCATAAAAGCAGCCATATATAATTGTCAAACGAGCATAGTTGTGTTTCAGTGAAACTTCATTTACAGAAATATGCAGTGGGATTTTGTACGTTGAAAAATACTATGAAGAAAGTGAAAAGACATCCCACAGAATAGGGAAAATGTTTACAAATCATTTATCTGATAAGGAACTTCTATCCAGAATATATAAAAAACTTAAAACTCAACCATAAAACGACAGCCCTATTTTATTTTATTTCATTATTTTGTGTGTGTGTGTGTGTGTGTGTGTGTGTGTGTGTGTGTGTGTGTGTGATGTGGACTTTTAATTCATACTTCCCCTCTCTCCCAACTGTGGCAGCTGAATAGGGAATGATCCCTCAGAACTCCCTGAGAAGACTAAAAAAGGGGGTTTGCATTCTTCTGGGTAGATAGGGGATGCGGTCAGAGTTGTCTGTAATAAAGCTAGCTACCTTCATCCTTTTCAAAAAGCATCAAGGAGTTCCTGGAATCTGAGTCAAGAATCCCTGCTCCTTGGCCAGACCCTGTGCTCTGGCCTGGGTTTCAGGCCAGCCCGGGAAAGACAGCCCAATTTTAATACGGGAAAATGATTTGAATAGACAGTTCTCCACAGAAGGTATACAGATGGCCAAAAAACATGGAAAGATGCTCAATGTCATTAGTCATTAGGGACACATACCTCAAAACCACAAGATACAACTTCACACCCACTAGAGTAGCTTTAGTAAAAGACACAGTAACCTGTTGGCAGGGATGTGGAAAAATTGAAATCCTCAGATACTGCTGGTGGGAGTGTAAGATGGTTTAGGCACTGGAAAACAGTTACTCATAAAGTTAAACAGAGTTACCATATGACCCACCAAAGTATCCTACTAACTGGTATACAGAAAGGAAAACATGTTCACACAAAAACTTCATGCAAATGTTCATAGCCGCATTATTCCTAATAGCCAAAAAGTGGATGACCCAAATGTCATCAGCTGATGAGTGGATAAGAAACTGATACATTCATAAAAGAGGATATTCATCCATAAAAGGGAATGAAGTATTAATACCTGCTATAATGTGGATGACTCTTGAAAACATGCTAAGTGAAAGAAGTCAGAAACAAAAGGCCACATTGTATGATTACACTCATGTGAAGTGCACAGAACAGGCAAATTTAAAGAAACAGTTGATTAGTGAGTGATTGCCCAGGACTGGGGAGTGGGGTATGGGGAAGGAGGAGTGAGTAATGGGTATGGAGTTCTTTTTAGGCTGATGAAACTTGTGAAATTAGATGCTGGCAATAGTTGCATGACCTTGGGAATGTACTAAAAACCACAGAATTGTACATTTTAAAATAGTGAATTCTATCTAAAATTAAAAAAAACGGGCGTCCAGGTGGCTTAGTCGGTTAAGCATCCAACTCTTGGTTTTGGCTCAGGTCATGATCTTAGGGGTTCATGGGATCAAGCCCTGTGTCAGTGCTGACAACGCAGAACCTGGTTGGGATTCTCTCTCTCCCTCTCAAAATAAATAAATAAACTTTAAAAAAAGAAACAGGCACTGGGCCAGATTTGGCCTGTGCACCATATTTTGTCAACTCCTGTTATAAACAAGTGAGGAATTTTAAGAGCTATAAGTTATAAAAATTGAAGGTTGCAAATCCTCTTGCCTGTTTGGTTTCTCCCCAAATGAGCCCTCAGATGATATTACTGATTTTCAAGGATGTTTCCATAGATGTTTCTCTCACAAAACAGTTACCTCAATTGCATCCAGAGTATCATTCAGTTGTTTTCTTTCATTCTTCTGTTTGTGGTCCATCTCAGGCCCCTCATAGAAAACTCCAAAATTGAGGTAAACTTGCACAGAACCAAAGTGATTTTGCTGATTTTTTAGACAAAGCTGATAAAAACCTGTAGGAATCCCTAGATCATTACCAAGTCTTGGCCTCCACCCTTTGTTGAACTCCCACCCTCTAGATTTCCCTGGAGATACCTGTTTACCAGTGTTAAATGTGCTACTTAATACCTTCTTCTCACTTAGGAAGTACAAAGATAGAATGTTTAAGGTGGAAGGCCTTACGTGATCTTCCATGAAACTTACTTTACTGAGTATCAGTTATGATGTTGTTTTGCCAAATATTAGTAACTGAGTTCTATAAAATAGTAAATTTATAAAAAGTAAATTTATTAAGTAAATTGGTTCTATACTAGATAGGAAACTATGTTTTCTCCTTTGTCACCTGTATTTCCCACATCTCTTACTGAAGTTCTTCTCAACAAAATGAGTTGAAATTAAGAGCATGCTATTTGCCTTCTTGTACACCATTACTGGGGGATACCGTCTTGAACTTGAAACTAGAGAAAAAATTGATGTGAATGAAAGAAGCTATCCTGCGGATGGAGTAACTTCTGCAAGGTGATTTGTACAGGAGCTAACGGTTTGGGGTATGAACTAGTATGAACTAGTGCTAGTTCTCAACTGGGATCCTCCCTTTGTGTGTGCCTCCCTTTGTGTGTGTGTGGGAGCAGGGAAGAGCGGGATTAGAAGGGCGTGGCAGTTATTTGATTGTTCTAATGGTTAGAAGGCACTGCTGGGGCCAAAGATGCCAGATACCATATGGTGCTGAAAATCCTGTGCTACACAGTGAAGGATTGTTTTATGCCCCGATTCAGAAACACTGTTTTTTGGGTTTTTTTTCTGTACACCTGGCTAGTAGAGAGGGCAATTAAAACCGACCAGTGTTGTGCAGGGTGGGGATAGGCTCAATCTGGCTGTAGGAAATTTCTGATGACTGGGGAAGTGTTTCGTTGTTTGTGGATATTTTCATGGCCATGCATTTCCTTTTGTTCTGAGTCTGCTATTTCATAACTGGCTCAAGTATTCTGGTGACTGGAAAGGAATGTTATCATGTAATAAATTTATTAGTTGGAATTCTGTATTATAAATGGGTCGGTCTCTCTTTTGGTCACTTTCTTATAACCTCATCAGTTGGAGATGATGAGATAAAATTGAGCTTCTGGACCCTGGAGTTACAGTAATTAGTCATCTGGAGACCCTGCCCTGAATCTGACAGCAACTGCCTGCGGCTTAATGTCCTCCACTACAGGCAGTCTCCGGGAAAGGTTTGATATTGGTGTTGAAGGCTGGTTTTTGGTGTTGAAAACTGGGTTCTTCCCCCTACTGTTTGATTATCCCTGTGTAAAAAAGCCAGGGCTAATATATCTCAGGTTGTTCTAATTTCAGGGGTGCCTGGGTGGCTCGGTTGAGCATCCAGATCTTGATTTTGGCTCAGGTCATGATCTCACGGGTTCGTGAGATCAAGCTCCACGTCAGGCTCCACACTGATTGTGTGGAGCCTACTTGGTATTCTCTCTCTCTCTCTCTCTCTCTCTCTCTCTCTCTCTCTCTCTCTCGGGTCCTTCCCCCACCCCTCCTCCACTAACGTGCTCACTGGCCCTCTCTCAAACTGAAAAAAGTAATTTCAGTACTTCTCATTATTTACCCAATTTCAA